GGGAAACAAACAAAAACACACAAGCAGTTCACTTCATGTGACCCACAACAACAACAACAAAAATAAAATCAGACGCAGGAGGTGTAGGACGCAAGTCACAATTGGCCAGCCATGAGCGTGCAGGCGCTCTGTAGCTCCGGGTCTTATCACTTTTGTTCAGATTACAGAGATTTTTGAGGAGTCAAGATATCTACCTATATAAATTTGAAGGATCTCTAACGAGAAGAACATTGAGTGTGCCATTAATTGCCCCACCTTCTGAAAATGCTAGTTGCCAGGCTGTCATGTTAATACTCTTCAATGCTCAATTCACTGACCAGAAACAAGTGTGTGAAGCAGACTTGCTGCAGGTCAGTACAGCACTGAGGGCTCCTCCACACCATGTCCAGACCTGCAAACAGTACAGTACAGTACATGTTTGCCAAAATACTACTTTAAGCTTCAAAAAAAAAAAGGGCTTTTAGGTGCATTACAATGTGTTTGCATGCATTTTGTATGCGTTTCCATGCGTTCCAGTGCCTTCCAGACTAGAGAAAGTGAGACTCGCAGTATTTTTTTCCTGGACTGGAACAGACTGCACTGGTGTGAATAGAGGCCAGAAACACCATTAGGTAGGTATACCATAGGGATGCTTTTTTGGTCCAGGAAAAAACCCCAAGAGCCCATTCACCAACTGCAGTGCGATCCAGAGCGGCAGCTGCTGGAACGCACAGCAATCACTCACCAAACTTCCCTTTGTTCTGGGGCAGGAGGGGGGGCGTAGCAATGCATTGAAGACAATGGCACCACAGCCACCCCACAGTGTGATTGGATGCGTGACGAAACATTGCCTGTGTTCCGTTCTACTGCAAACGCAAGAAATAGAGCATGCAGCATCTTTTGCAGTAGACCAGAACGCAGGCAATGTTTTACCATACATCCGATCGCACTGTGGGCGGGGGGCATGGCTGTGCTGCCATGGACTTCAATGCACCGCCACACCCCCTCCCACCCCAGAACGTAAGGGGACGTTTTGTGATAGATTGCTCTGCGTTCCAGCAGCTGCCGCTCTGGAACACACCGCAATTGGTGTGAATGGGCTTGTTAACACCAAGTGCGGAGCAGTTACAGAATGCATCCAATAGTATTTTGGGCTCTAGTTCACACCAGAGCGTTTGTTTCCAGAGCAGGTAGAAAAACTACAGCAAGCCCTATGTTTTCTGCTCTGGAATGCACCAAAACATGCAAACGCTCTGGAATGCACTGGACTTCACCTGAAAGCTCATTTTAGGGAAAAAAAAACACGACCAGAACGCATCAAAAATGCACAGCATATGCAGAAACTCATCCAGAGCTGGTCTGGATGTGAAGCCATTTTTGATGTGTTCCAGTGCAGATTTATTGTATTTAGCTAAAATGTCCTTTCAGGTGCAGTGCACATTTGCATTAGTTTACATGACTGTTCATGACCAACTGAACAGAGCCTAGAAATGCCCTAGGGATACATTGGGATGCTTGTTTGGTCCAGTAACAAACTGGTCTGGTCATGCTTTTTTGGTCCAGGAACAAACTGGTCTGGTCATGGTGTGAACGCCCCCCCCCCAATCTAGAGCCTACACGCAGTTAGCAGTGTCTATGCACATGCTGATTTTTGCATGCACCTGATGGGGATCATAGTGAACTTAATTGAGCATTAGGGAGTCCTTCCAGAATGCTGACAACCATATATGAATATTGTATATGTGCATATAAAATAGACATAAATGTTTTAGAAAGAGGATTGGACACAAAGTGCACATGGACACTCACCAGCGCGTCTTCCCCATCGCTACACAACGCTTCCTCCTGGGTGCTCGGGCTGATGGACGCGTCGCCCTCCTTGGCCGCCTCTCGGGTGGAAGCGCTGCTGCTGCAGCGGCTGCTCTCCATGTTGGACGCCGCCGTCTCCACCGGCGTGTTGGGGCTCTGGCTGGCGGGGCTCGGGTACACGTTGGAGCCCGGGACGCTGACGGTTTTCTGGGGCTGGCTGGAAAGATTGGGGTTCCCGGGCCAGAAAGCAGGAGTCCAGGCATGGGTGTAATATTGGGGAGCTGGGGGACCCCTCTCCTCTGCTGCTCCTCCAGCATCCTCGGTCTCCTCCTTGATCTTCCTGCTCTCCGCCGCGCAGGGGGTCTCCTCTCTTAGCTGATGAGCTGGGGGCGCACGGAGGTTGAGGTGACCAGTGGGCTCCATCTGAGGGTGGCTCCAAGCCATGACCTGAGCCTGGTGCTCTCCCAAATCCCCATTGTCTGCCTTCACAGCGGAGAAGAAGAACGCCTGGGAGGGGTGGTGGTAACCCCCAAAGCTATCTTGCATGATCCCGGGGTTCAGGGTAAAGGAAGGATAAGCCTGCTGGCTGTACATGACTCCAAACTCGAGCAGTCCTCTTGTCTCCAAACGTTCAAGTTCCACCTCAAGTGCTTCAAACAAAAGACTCGACTGGAGAGGACCTTAGTCTTTGACTGAAAGCCACCAGTGCTTAAATAGAAACTCAAAACCCCAAAAAGTAATTTAAAAAAACCCAAAGTCCTTCAAGAGTTGCTGAAGCCTAGATTAAAAGTTGACACCAGGTTCCTCATACCCAACTGTTCCTTCCAGTGTGTCCATGAAGATGACTCCTCCAACCTAAAAATCCATTAAATTGGCCTATTTACCCTTGAGGTGGAGATCTCAGCCCCACCCCCCCCAATCGATGCTTATGGTAATTGATCCTATCATTCATTGGTTCCTCTACAACAAATAACCCCCACCATCCACCTCACTAGGGGGAAGTCACTTCATCTCATTTCCTAATGAATTTACCCCACAAGTCTACTTTCTGCATGAGGGTTTAACCCTTGCAGTGGCTAGTATCATGGCTGCTAATCCCTGACCCACAGGTGATGCCTATATGCACATACATAATGGATTGCACCAGGTTACCAGGAATCTCCATATTAAATGCACAGCAGGCATTTCTTTTTATACTGGATTCTATCTGTTGCTGGCCTTGGTGCAATCACTTCCCAGCCATCAGGGACAATAAACTAATCACCTGCCCCTGTTATAAGGCACACGCTGTCATGTCTGACCCCTATGATGTATATAGACAATATATCTGTCTGCTGCCTGTGCACAGTGCTGACAACATGGCGGATCTATTTTGGCTCCAGTGTTAAAAAAAAGTGGCTCCCTTGCCTCCCTGATATGCGCCCTAGAGCGCAAGTGCCTTCTGCTTTGACATTTCTATTGTTTATATACTTGGTACTGTTGAACTTGCAAGTGTCAATCACAAGAAATATGTATTGTACACTTCATACAAACTGCTGTACTGTCTTTGTCAAAATCAATAAAAAAAACTTTGATTTAAAAAAAAAAAAAGTGGCAAAGATATAATGAGATACTGCTGACCGGTCCTGAAAATCCTGGTTGCCTGGCCGCCATGTCAATGCAGTGCCTTCAACAATTTTGTTCAGTAACTTTAAGACCCCGTTCACATGTAGCGACATACCTTTTGCAGCGGCCGGGATAGCGCGACTTTCAGGGCGACGATCCAGCGACGGTAGCGCGGCCTTCTCCGTCGGGCTCCATAGAAAAAAAGCAAAATCGTGCAAAATCCGCCGAAAAAAGGGTCCGGTAGAAGCGACTTGCGACCGCGACGAGCGACGCGCGACATGGAGTTAAGACAGCTCCATTGAATAGCATTGGCCGGCGACTTCTCGCGATATCGCGTGGCAAAAATGCGCGATATCGCGGCGGAAATCTCGCGACAAGTCGCTATATGTGAACGGGGCCTAAAGTAAAGCCAGTGGTGGTCAGGGAGTTAGCATTTTCAGAAGGATGGGTGTCCACTGTGTTTGGTTTCCAGAATTGTTTCCCTGTACTGATGGCTGGCATTGCCGGCCTTCTTGCAGAAATGCTAGTTATCTGGCGGTGCCTGGCTTTACTACTTCTGAATCAATGACCCGGCCAAGTATGCAGCAAATGTAATTGGGAGTCCTTATATCTACACTTGCTCCAGATCAGTCATATACTCAGTATACTCCAACGTATTTTAGCAAGGCCAAATGGTTCTAATGGGATTTTGGAACCAGTGGCCCCTGGGTCATACAAGAGGGTAATAAAACTGATTGTTTGCAGAGACTTTGGCTGCTAATGGACTTCAGGCAATGAGGATCCTAAGGTGACACCAAACTCAGGAGTTACATCTTACAAATACATTGAAGCATCTTAACTATTTACAGAAATGTATCTTATTTGTGTATCACTCGGCTGTAGATCCTCAAATCATCTCTGAATTGGTGCTGACACTGTCCTTCCTTCTGGAGGGGGGCTACTTTTCGGTCCTTGTGTGTGTTGTAAAGTAGTCACCGCTCCAAGCTCACTCCCGTGATGGACTACAATCTCAGTACAAATTAGTAAACCCTCAGCTGAGATTGTAGTTCATCATGGTCTAGAACAGCGGTTCTCAACCTTTCTAGTGCTGCGACCCTTTGATAAAATTGCCCAAGTTGTGGCGACCCCTAACAGTAAAATTATTTTTGTTGCTCCTTCATCGCTGTCATTTTGCTACCGTTAGATAGCTTTTAGATAGCGGCCTTGGCCGAGAAACACTTTCTCCCGGAAAGGTTTACTCTGCTCGATCGAGCAGAGTAAACTTTTCCCTGCTATGTTTTTATTTTTTTCTGACATCGGAGCCGCCGGCCGCCCTCAGTCAGATAAAAAAAAACAGCATAGGAATGCATAGCTAGATTCCTATTGGCTATTTCACTTTACAATATCCAATAGCAAGCTAACTATTGCACCCGCCCTCTGCTGCTGTCAATCACTAGTAGAGGACCTGATGGAGAACTTCAGGTCCCCCACTGCTGATTGACAGCAGTGGGCGGGTGCAATAGCTAGTTTGCTATTGGCTATTACAAAGTGAAATAGCCAATAGGAATCTAGCTATGCATTCCTATGCTGTTTTTTTTTATCTGACTGACGACGGCCGGCAGCTCCGATGTCAGAAAAAAAAAAAAACCAGAGCAGGGAAAGGTTTACTTTGCTCAATCGAGCAGAGTAAACCTTTCCGGGAGAAAGTGTGTCTCTCCCGGGCGGCCAGGAGCCGCTATCTAATAGCGGGAGACTCCCGGAGCTTCCGGGAGAGTTGGGATGTCTTTAGGCGAACCCTGGCAAATCCTCATTCGACCCCCAACGGGGTCGCAACCCACAGGTTGAGAACCACTGGTCT